GCTAAGAGAACCTGTAAGCTAAGAGAACATCCAAGACTGTAGGTATCAAACCAGGCTAGCTTGAGTTAAAAAAAATGTATCTTAGGAAACAATAGCTCACTTTGCTCATGGGCACAGAGTGAGGAGCTGTTAGAACCAACTAGTCCACAGAAACCAGGTGTTTAGACAGAAAAGCTTCTAAAAGAAATTACAGCACAAGTGTTGAGGCTAGCATTGCCCAGTAGCATTTACTGGGACTCCGGAGAAGGTCTATATCAGTCTCTTGAGCAAAATCAAGAAATGCCCATGTTCTACTGGGCAAAATTTTCCTGTGTTCACCCTTCATCCCAGTCCAGCCTGAATTCAGATTCATTAAAGTGAGGGTCTGTGGGCATTCTCTGGTTTCCTCAAGGAAAATCTCTCAAAGAAATTCTTTAAACCACTGTTGGTTCTTTGTACCCAACCACTCACCCATTCTGCCCTTTGTGAGTGATGAATAAACTAGAAAGTATAAACCAAGTTCCTACACATCTAGAACTTTCCCTGGGTGTTATATTTCCAACATTCCTGTAGAGGTCTCCAAGTGACGAAAGAAGTTAGGACAGGGGCCCCAAAGTAGCAGTTCTAAGAATGTCCATGTTGAAGGCCAGGGATGCCAAGAAGAGAGTGCCGATTCCTGGTTCCATGTCACCTTTTGCTTCTGTGTGGAAACTGTATGTGAGCACATGGCTGGTTCCTGGTTCCACGTCACCTCTTACCTCTGTGTGGAAACTGTATGTGAACACATGGCTGAAATTGAGAAAAAGCGTTTTGACACCTCATGGTTGGGTCTCTTGGACTACCAGCCCACTCCTCCCCATGCTTCACCCCTGTTTCTTCTAAATCCTATAAAATTCCCAGACTCTCAACTCATTGGTGCCATATTTCTTGAGCCATTCCTACTATTCAGGAGCTCTGCCCCATTTCTTGCTCTCCCTTAAGATCCCAACTATGCACTTAAAATAAAAATAAGCTTCCTAAACTTTGTAGGCTGTGAATTTCACCCTTTGAATTTACAAGTAAAGGTCTTCTCCCCATTGCTAGTTTAATCTCAAGTTGACACAAGCTATAGACAATTACCTGAGGTTAGGAAATCACAACTAAGAAATTCCCTCCATGTGACTGGGCTGTAGACAAACCCTTAGGGCATTTTCTTAATTTGTGATGCCAGAGGGCCCAGCTCATTGTTGGTGGGTCCATACTTGGGCTTTTGGTGCACAGGCTGAGCAAGTCACGAGGAGCAAGTTAGTAAGCAGCACTCCTCCATGGCCTCTGCATCAGTTCCTCCCTCCAGGTTCATGCTCTGCTTTGATAATGAACCCTGATATGGAAGAGTGAGTGAAATAAACCCCTTTTTGCCCCAACTTGCCGTTAGTCATGTGTTTCATCACATACCTAATTAAGACAAACTCCCAAAGCCACTGGTTTGAGGGACAGTTGTGCTGGCCTTCATATTTTCAGAGACCTAGACCCTGAGCTGAGGTCACTAAGAGCCAAGAAAATCTCTATCACTCTCAAAGACACCTCCAAATTTCCCATACATAGGGACATGGCTGACTCTAACTGGTACTGCGGGGTCTCACTGGCAGCCCACTAAGTCCTCACATTAAGTGTTTTTCTTCAGCTATGCTTCTATCAGTGATGAAAGTACAGGACTAACACAAAGGTGGCTGTATTACTAAAAGCCCACCCAAGCATGAATGACAGCTCACAAAACCTGGAACTTTAGAGTTCTTTGGGCAACCTGCAGGCAGAGTGACTCAGGCGACGTGGCTGGTCTCTCGGCAGTTCCTATTGCTTATCTAAACATAGAGAGGGAGTGAGCTAGTGTATCTAGTTAATTTCAGGGATTTCCTGAGATTTCTGAATTATTTCCCAATTTTTAACAGGGTCCCTTTAGTATTGATAAGCTTCCCTCTAAGATGGAATGGATTATCTTAGAGGGAATTTGCTACACAAAATATGAACATTTCATGCTGTATTGTGTTCTGCAGTGTTGCTTGAGCCTTGGGGGCTGGAAGATGATGTTGGTGTTCTGTTTCTTGCTGACCATTCAGTTACCCCTTGTTTTTTTTTATCACTTTGTTGAAGGAGAGAGGGGGCCTGCTTTTCGTCCCAGCTGCCAGGCTAGCTTAACCCCCGAAATAACCACACAGAAATTGTATCGGTTAAATTACTGCCTGACCCATTAGTTCTAGCCTCTTATTGGCTAACTCTCACATCTTGATTTAACCCATTTCTAATAATCTGTATTTTACCACGAGGTCGTGGCTTACTGGCTGGCTCTATGGCGGCTCTCTCTGTCTGCCTTCTTCCTCCCAGCATCCAGTTCTGCCACTGACAGCCTTCGAATCTAATCATTCCAATACAGGGAAGATATATCTCACTGGAGAGTTGTCCACCAGTGCCTTTGATGGATTGGCTCCAGAATCCCGAACAGCTATGCAGCTTTACATATGCTCAAGTCCCTTTTATAAAATATTATATTTACAATAAACTACACAATTCTCCTATGCATTAAAGAGCCTCTATATTCTTACAATGCCTAACACAATGTAGAACATTACATAAGTAGTTACTATTCTATATTAATTGTATTTTTTTTTTTAGGAAACAGTCACTAGAAAAACATCTGTGCATACCCAATATGATACAATTAAAAATATTTGTTTCCTATCCACCATGTGTGTTCTTTGTAACCCAGCCTATAACTTGTGGCAATTTCCTGCAAGGGTGAGTACAGAGCTTTATGCGTTTGGTAAAATCCCATGGAATGTATGAAACTGAGAGAAATCTACTTTGAACTTTGAATCTTAATTAATATTAGTATAGGAAAATTGGTTCAGTCGTCGTAACAAACACACCACATTAATGCAAGGTGTAAATAGCAGGATCTTGTGATAAGAGGAAGAGGAGATATTCGAGAACTTTCTATGCTATATGAAGCCTAAAACTGTCTTAAAGAAAAATCATCTGAGAAGTCCGAGGCAGGAGAATTATAATTCAAGACCTACCCAGGCTACAGAATAAATTAAAGTATAAAGTTGAAGAAGAAAGCTGAGGTCATAGTTTATTGGTAGGGTACTTGTGTGTGGCCCTGGGTTCAATTCCTGGTACAGTAAAAGAACAACAACAACAACAACAACAAAAATACAAACCCTACTGACAAATGTTGAAATTAAATGCTTTCTTAGTTTATATTACATTATTCCCTAACTGTGTGTTTGCTATTTGTAAACATTAACCAACCCCAGGACGTATTATGAAATTGCTATTATTTTCAAACCAGTGGGGTTGGAGCAGGTGCGTGAGTGGGCATATGGATCCTCCCGTGCCAAGTTTTAACAAGCTGTGGAATCTTTAGGGATCTTGTTAAAACAGACATTGCTGTAGCGGATCTCAGATGGGGCCTGAGATTTTGTATTTCTGAGCAGCTCCCAGAGATGCCACTGCCGTTGGTCAGCAAATCACATTTCCCAGAGCAGCTGTGTAAACAGAAACACCTAGGTTTGTTGCCTGGCTCAGGTGAAGACCTTTCTATTGTCTCAGGCAAGTTCCCGCTCTGGATATGCAGATCCCTCATGCAGAAAGACCGCAGGCTGCCATTGCCCAAGACGTGTCTGTTTCCAGGCTGAAGATCCTGGCCCCAAGGCTTGTTGGCAGCTTCAGATTTTGTTTTAAGCACACAGGTCAGCTAGAACCTCAGTAACGCCAAATAACAAACAACTCCATAGCTCAGAGACTTCAAAGGACTCAAATCTATTCCACAGGCAAACAGGGAAATTAATGTTTGGCGAATCAAAGCTGGGCTCTGCTGGATTTGGGCTAGGCCAGTTCCATGTGTCTCTTCCCTGTACCCACAGTTGCCCGGGAAGCACCATTCTAATGGTCACGAGAAAAACGTAAGGTTGTTGTAAGGGTACAAACCCAGTTACCCTGACATGTTTCAAGCCTTGATGCCACAAATGTCCCACTACCCACAGCAGGTCTCATGGCCATGTCCAGCTCCAAAGTGGTGGGGCTGTGCCCCCCATCCCCAGTGAAAAAAATTGCAAGGCTGTGGATGAATGACTTTTTTTTTTTTTTTTTTTTTTTTATTTAGCAATGTGCAAAGTTGAGACCGGTAATTTGCTCTGGCATATTCTTTCTACAGAGTGGGAGAATTCTGCCCATCTACGACATGCAATCGTGTCATTCCCTAAAGCCGTATACAGCAAAGAAAAGCTATTCCCCATGCCTCTGAATAGGCTTCCTCTCACCATTGTCTGCCTTAGAATTAAAAGATATGTGGACTACATACCTATTAGACTAGCTAAAGCAAACGGATCAACTCCCCACCCCCCACCAAGCAAGATGTGAATGTGGCATGTGTTTGCGTACTTGGGCTATTGTAATAAAATGTCATAGCTTTGATAGCCTAAGAAATGGGATATGTCACCAGAGTCGCTGCCCTGAGCCTTGGTGATGAATTCTAAACATTCCACATGCTTTAGCACATTTAATTTTTATCACAGCCTCTGAGATAGGTACCCTTTTATCCCAGTTTAGCAGATAAGAATCCTGGTGGGAATCAGTAGCTAGATAAGAAGGTAAGCCAGCTAGTAAGTAGTGTGGCCAGGTTTGAACAGAGGCAAACTGACTCGAAATCCTATGCAAAAATAATGTCTATGGATCCCATAGCCAGCTTCCTCCAATGTTAGCATCTCATAAAACTACAGCGTGAGGTGTTGAAATAGGAGCGGCAGGGCTGCGTCCCCGGCACCCGGCCGCCCGCATGGCTAGCTTATACCCAGAAATAATTACACGGAAACTGTATTCTTTCAAACACTGCCTGGCCCGGATAGTTCCAGTTCCTTATGGCTAGCTCTTACATATTGTTCTAACCCATTTCTAATATTCTGTGTAGCCCACGAGCTGGCTTACCAGGGAGGATCTTAACCTGCGTCTGTCTGGAGCGGGAGAACCATGGCGACTCCTCACACAGCTTCTTTTTCCCAGCATTCTCCTCTGTCTACTCCGCCTACCTAATTTTCTATCCAATAAAATGGGCCAAGGCAGTTTCTTTATTAGTAAGAAATCATTCCCACATCATTTCCCCTTTTTCCGTTTAAACAAAAAAGAAAGGCTTTAACTTTAGCATAGTAAAATTACATATAACAAAACAGTTATCAAGTAAGAATTACAGTTATAATATTTATATCTATTTTATCTTTTATCATAATTAAGGAAAACTATAACTATTCATTCTTCAATTCCATCAAAGACTCCAGAAGGATATAATATTACCTATCAAACAAGAAGTAAGAAAACTCTAAAAATGACAGAGACATCTCGCTGCCTGGACAGTCATCCAAAGTTCCTCTGTACCGTTGGGGCATCCATCTTCGGCCTACAGGCCCATGTTATGCAGAGACATTTCCATGAAGCAGGAAATTTCAAAGACAGTTCAGTCATTTTCTGCTGTGTCCTGCAGAATGTCTCGCAGACTCTTTCATGAATCAGGAACCCCAAAAGGTCATTTCACCTTTAGGCAAGTTCAGCAGTCCTCTCTCTGCGGGTTCTCTGTGTCCAGTTTATGCAACAGTCCAGGCAAGAGCAGTTTCTTGCCCAAATGACTATCAAACTCCATAAGGATCCTCTTCGATGCCCATCTTCCTCTTGAAGTAGCTGGTGCTGCCAGGAGCAGACGTGTCTCCTTGTCATGAAAAGTCCTAAGTTATTAAAATATTTTAAATGCCATGTTCTGCAGTCTTTGAAAGATATGAAGAATGCCTATCTAACTGAAATATATCTCTATATATCTAGAAAATCTAATTAACATGACTACAAGCTTAACTATTAGCGATGATTATCCATTAACAACCTATATTTTCTAATTATACATTACATTTTAAATGAACTACACAATCACAATACCTTAATCAAGTTCAAAAATACATATACATATAACAAAATTGACCTTAAAATCCATACCAATGCAAATTATTCATATCTATATCATATCCCCCTTTAAATGTAAAAGAACATTTATAAACAATATTTGGGAACATGGGCGTAGTTTTTTCTTTCCAAACTGCTTCCTGCTGAATAGGGGCGTCGTTAATTAGGTCTTTTGTGGTATAACCTGTGTGCCAGGGTCATCTCAGTTGGCAGTTGAGTGAAGTAATTTTTTGAGGGTGTTCACAGCAACCTTTCAGGAGGGCGTGGTCTATCATACCAAATCGGAATAGATGCAATCCACAGGGTCACATCCTCTGTGAAAACAAAAGAAGACCCTCTCCAAAGCATCATATCCTTAGACCCAAATTCTGAAGTCAAGATACCTTTAGAACATATGTGCAGGTTCAGCTTAGCAGCCCATATAATGAAATGTCTCTCTGTATTTAGCTCCTTCACAGTCAAAAATTTTAAAGAAAACACAATGTACATAATCCAGACTCTCTGTGAATTTTCCATTTTTACGTGGCTTATTTTTCTTTATTTCTCTTAATCTATAACTATCTGTACTTAAGACATTAACTTTATTCTTTATATTCTTTTTCTTCTCTCTCCCAAGCCTACGTACATTTATCCTACAGTGTCTGAATCTGTTCTATTGTGAATCTGTAATTTTTTTATTATCCAGGAGCATTTCTTAAAATGTTAAGCACTTCTTAAAAACTTAAGTTGCACCATGTACAGGTAATACGGTACTGCCTGTGTCCTGCCCAGTCTAAACCTTAACTGCACAGTTTTAAGGTAATTACGGTAGTTCCTGCCTGAGGTCAGCACAGTTCAGCATGGAGCAGCCACTCCTGCCTCAGAGTCATTTGGTTCTTCCGAGCTGAGCACAGTTCCAGGCACACAGCAGTTCACATTGGAGCTGCAATCAGCAGTTTAATTCTGAGACTGAGTGTGCAGCACAGAAACTCTTTTCATCCAAGTTACAGCCAAATCTGACATGCAGAGCACTGCGCAGTCTGAAAACGCGTCTCTGTATGGCGGCAGGAATCCGCCATGCTCTTCTGCCTGCCTAAGCCTGATTCCGCCATCTGCCCAGGTGCAGGCAGGGAACGCTGAGCCATCGGCAGGTCTCAGAGCAATCTCCTCCGATCCCAAGTGGGAACAGAAACATCCAGTCCCATAAAAGCCTTGAAATGCTTTAAAGCCAGAGTTCACGCTGGCAGTACAGCACCAGGAAGCCGTGCTTTAAAATGACGCAGCTTTTTTTCTCTGCTGCTGTTGCTGAATCAGGAATCTCTCTACAGCACGCCACCAACAAAACAGCAAAAATCTGTGTTAAACTCTGTTTCCCTTATTTTTAAGCCTTCTCAGGTTTTTAAGTGGATTTAGCCCATCACGTCTGGGCGCCATCTGTTGAAATAGGAGCGGCAGGGCTGCGTCCCCGGCACCCGGCCGCCCGCATGGCTAGCTTATACCCAGAAATAATTACACGGAAACTGTATTCTTTCAAACACTGCCTGGCCCGGATAGTTCCAGTTCCTTATGGCTAGCTCTTACATATTGTTCTAACCCATTTCTAATATTCTGTGTAGCCCACGAGCTGGCTTACCAGGGAGGATCTTAACCTGCGTCTGTCTGGAGCGGGAGAACCATGGCGACTCCTCACACAGCTTCTTTTTCCCAGCAGTGAGGCTCCAATCTAACATTGAGAACTTCTTGACGTTGCTAATTAAACTTGAACCCATATGCGAGTTTTGCCTATTGGCTCACTAATACCCAGATTTTGATCCAGAGTCCAGATTTTGGATCAGGATTTCATATTGATTTTGGTTGTATATTTCCCTAGCACTTTGAAATCTGTAACAATTCTTTAGTCTTGCGATCATGACCTTGACACATTGGAGAAGTACCTGCCAGTTATCCCACAAAGTGTCTTTTGCTTGAGGTCTAATGTTTTCCCATGTTGAGTGTATACATTTTTTTGGTTATGCACTTTTAATACAACATGGGTGATCTTGTGTCCTCCCCAGGGACACAGATCAGATGTATATGATGTGAGGTCTTTTTTTCTGGATTTCGACTACTTGACTAAAATTATTTCTGTTTGAGTAGCTGGGTGGTTGCTGCTGCTGGTGGTGGTGCTGGTGTGTGTATGAGAGAGAGACAGAGAGAGAGACAGAGAGAGAGAGAGAGAGAGAGAGACAGAGACAGAGACAGAGACAGAGAGAGACAGAGAGAGAGAGACAGAGAGAGAGAGAGAGACAGAGAGAGAGAGGTACATGAGTGTGAAGGTGCAGCGCCTGGGAGCACATGCAGAACTAACAGGATGGCCCTGGGTATCTTTATCATTCTCCACCTGATTGTCTTGAGGCAAGTTCTCTCACTGATCCAAAATCTTACCACTTCAGCTAGGCTGGCCGGCCACTGAGGACTTGGGACCTGCCTGTCTCTGCCCTGCAATGATGGGGCTACAGACATATGAAGTTTATGTATTGATTATGCCTTACATGTTGGAGAGTTAAATTCAGGCCCAATGCTTTCTCAGCGAGTGGTTTGACTGATGAAGCCATCTCCCTGTCCCCTGTGTTTTATTGTTGTTGTTGTTTCTCTTTGTAAACAGTACATGTAAATAGCAATGTGAGATGTTTCAAATGCATGATGGTGCCAGGTAGTCATTTGATGTATTCATTATTCTCATCACTTTTTTGAGGTTTGATAATTGGATTTCTGCTGTGGGGAGGAGCAGCTTCTCCTCTGTCATTTGTTCAATTTCTTATGTCTTCAATGTCCTGCCAGGGTACAGGGAGCATCCCAGGGATATCTTTGCTTCTCCCTTGTTTTTTTTTTTTCTTCTATTTTCGCCTCTACTAGTGACCTGATAAAACCAAATCTAGCACCAGCATTTGTGACTAAGAAATTATGTGCTTTTGAAAAAGAGTTTGAATTTTTGTGTTACTTTATTTTATTTTTTAAAAAGAAAACAAATTTTTTTCTCATTTTACACACCAATCCCAGTTCCCACTCCCTTCCCTCTTCCAATTCCCTCCACCTTTCCTCACTCTCCCACCTCCACCCACCCCCCATCCACTCCTCATAGAGGGTAAGGCACATGGCTGTGAGGAACATCCAAGGCCCTCTCTTTTATATCTAGGCTGAGCAAGGTATCATCCAAAGAGAATGGGTTCCCAAAAACCAGCACAAGCAGTAGGGATAAATCCTGGTGCCACTGCCAGTGGTCCCCCTGTCTGCCCCAGCCACACAACTGTCAACCACATTAAAGAAGGACTAGTTTGGACCTATGCTGGTTTCTTCCCAGTCGGGCTGTAGTTGGTGAGCTCCCATTAGCTCAGGTAGACTGTTTCAGTGGGTATCCCCATCACAGTCTTGACTTCTTTGCTCATATTCTCACTCCTCCCACTCTTCAACTGGACTTTGGGATCTCAGTCCAGTGCTCCAATGTGGGTCTCTGCCTCTGTTTCCATCCGTTTCTGGATGAAGGTTCTATGGTGGCATTTAAGATGGAATTACGTACTTTTAAAGGAATCAAAATAACTGTTTTCTCAATCAGGGTTGAAACAGGAAAAGACTGCTTTAGAAAGCCATAGTTGTTCCCGTCGCTAGAGATCAGCCTGGGGCCAGGTATCCTGATCTCCACTAGAGTTCAGACCTTTGACCTCATGGTTCCAGAAGTGCTAACTGGTCAGGTGTGGTGGTGGCGGTAGTGTGTGTGGGAGGAGGATGTGGTATATTTCTGCCTCACAATTACCCCCACCCTATGTCATATTTTAGGATTTGTTTGGCCAATAAGATTGCAGCACACACACACACCAGCCTCAGACCCTGCTGGAGCCTTGCCTTTGATGTCACAATCTGACCTTCAGACACTAATCTGGCCACAGCCACTCATAGGCCAGATGGCAAAGTAAAGAAGACCACAGTAAGATGTGGAAGAGAACTGATCCTCAAGCCAAGATCAAAGCAGGAGATAGGCCCCAGACTTGTCATTCTCTGGCTCTGGGGTCAGCCACACAGACAACATTGCCACACCCTCTAGAACTGTCAGACTTTCAGGGCTTCTCTGTGTTTGAGGACATTAGCCATCAAATCAAAGAAGTAGGAGCCCAACTGGTAAAGAAAGTGAATGCCATCTTTCAGCTGGACATCACCAAAGATGGGAAGACCATTCTGCAATGGACCATTGACCTCAAGAATGGTTCTGGGGACATGTACCTGGGATCTGCCCAGCTTCCAGCAGACACTGTCTTCATCATTCCTGACTCTGTATTCATGGAGTTAGTTGTGGGTAAGATGAACCCACAGAAGGCTTTTCTGGCTGGCAAGTTCAAAGTGAAAGGCAAAGTTTTCCTTAGCCAGAAGCTGGAGAAGATCTTCAGAGACTGGGGCAAATTTTAAGCATGCAAGAAACCCAGACAAGATCAAGACTTCTGGTGTATAATGTTGAGTGGTAGCCATGCTTAAACTGAAGATTAAAGGAAAAAATAGCCAATATTTTTACTCAAAATCTTCCTATTCAAGTTCAATTGATTTCCTGCTGATGTTTACATTTGCTGGGTTCTGGGACAGTAAAAAAATGTTGGAGTGTAACACTTAAAACCTTTGTCTTTTCATTTTCTCAGCTGGGTTTATCCTCTTATGTCAATGTGAGGCCACATGAAGCTGAATGGGTCATTCTGTTTGGATCTTAAAGCTGATGATTTTCTAAGATATGAGTATATCTATCTATCTATCTATCTATCTATCTATCTATCTATCTATCTATTAGAAAAATATATAGCCTTTTTAGTAGTTTGGAGCTTTAGGGGAAAGAAGTGAGTATGTGGGCACTATGCATGGTGATTTCATTTCAGAAGGAGAGCTTACTGCAGGTCTCAAGGCCCTGAGACGGTGATCTCTACAGCTCTGTGCTTGGAACCCGGCAATAGTGAGATGTTGTTCCTGGCATAGTGTATCCTTTGATGGATTCAAGCCAGGAAAGTTGAAGGGCCTGAAAGATATTCAAGGTGGTTCTTAGGCCAGATCATGAAGCAGAATTGTCCAGAAGCATAGTTCAAGTCTGTGTGATGGGAACCTCAGTTTCGGCTCAGTTGGGGAGAACGTACCTTTCAGCCATGTTTCAATGTCAGTGGGGCCACCTTTGAAGAGCTTTTGCCCTCCTTTGCTGTGTGGGAAGGTTACGGTATTGACCATTGTTCTATGCAAGACCAGTGAGATGCTGTCATTATTTAAAGACAGGCTACATAGTTCTCTCTGATCCATTTCTAAAGAATTCATGTTACTGGGAGTTTGTGCATTGGCATTTTAAGAATCAAGTTCATGCAAGGGGTTTTCCTCTTTCTGGTAGCTTTCCTCACATGTTTTCTTGGACTGGTATGAAGCCAACTACAGCTCATTTGGTCTCCACAAGGGAGTGTGCGCATCATTGGTTCACATGTGGTCTGAACGAATCTTTAAATATGTGCAACATAGATATTCTGAGGCTCCTATGAAAGTTATGTCAGAACTTTGGTGATCAACACAGGTCTGTCTTCTTAGTCTATTTTATGCTGCCATAATACAACATCTGAGATTGAGTACTTTATACAGAAGAGAAGTTTATTTGACTTATGGTCTCAAAGGCTCTAGGAATTCTTGGAGCATGGTGCTGGAATACTATTACCATCCAAGAGGGCTTATCTGTTGTGTTGTAAAATGGAAAAGGGCATCACACAGTGAGTGGTTTACTAGGTCAAGTGAATTTTGTTTCTTATAAAGCTACTAATAGCATCATGATGGTCCCATACTTATGACCTCATCTCAACCCAAACATCTCCCAAACATTCATCCTCTTGATACCAGTAACATAAACTTAGGGAGTCAGTTTCCAGGACATCAATTTTGGGGAACACATTAAAGGCATGGTACCTACCCAATGTCATTTCATTTTAAAGTAATATCTTAAGGCAAACATATATGTACAAGTACAAAAACTTGTATGAAAGCCAACGAGACGGCTCAGTGAGGAAGGGAAACGACTACCGAGGCTGAGAACCTGGGTTTGATTTCTGGAACGCACACAGTGGAAGGAGAGAAGCAAGAAGCAAGCACACCCCTAGAAATAGTCCTGTCATCTCTACGCACAAATACATATAACCATTTTTAAAGTTAAAAACACTGCTTAAATGCAGAGAATAAGTGATTGTGGGATCTCCAACCCCAACTGGTACATCTGCAATGAAATTCTACATAGGGAGCACTGCCGAAGGGATGTGTGTGAAAAGACTGCTAGGGGCCAGGGGACCAGGACTCTTGCCGTAAGATAGGTGTCTTCTATATATGATGTGAAAGTTGCATCCAGGAAACTTCAGCCATGTGGCCACCTAAACAAGACCTGCATAATGACAATACTAATTGACATGACGATGTGGATGGAGAAAATTTCATAAGGTCCTACCCCGAGATGAAGAGCTACAGGATACCAATGGCTACCGAGAGAGGAAAATTCAGCCTTCTTCGGGGATCAGCCCTCTGAATTAGGTTACCCAGTCCCATGTGGTCCGCCCTAAGTAGACACGGGTATATATAAATAACAGTAAATGGGCTCAGTTATACATACTCAGTGTATTCACACACACCACAATAATTACAAGGAGGACTTGAGTTTGAGAAGAAGTGGGGGGGATATCGGAAGAGTTGGAGGGGAAAAGGAGGGGTGAAATGATATATAGTTCTCATGTATGAAATTCTATAAAAATTAAAAATGCAAATAAAAAAGGAAAATATCAAAGAAACATAAAAGCCTGGTTCAAACATTAACTGTAGCTATGTTGCTAATTATTTAAAACTGAAAGCGAAGCAAATGTCTATCAATAGGAGAAGGGATGAACAAATTGTGGACTGTCATACCATAGAATACTACTTAGCAATAAAAAGGAATGAATTATAGTTGCACACCCAGCACAGCAGATGGAAAGAAGAAAATAATTATGTTGATGAGAAGATGCCAGAGAGACCTGAGTAGATGCTATAGTATTATAAAACACTGGAAAAGATGAGGAAAAAACTATTAGAAAATGTGAGTGTGATGGCAGTTTGCCAGGAGATGAGAATGGGGCGTGGGAAGGATGGGGGAGGTGTTTCAAATGATCATGGGGAAACTTGGGCTGATGGATGTAGTCATTATCTCCGTGTGGCGAGGGGTTACAAATGATCTATAGATCAATACACCCAATTTTACACTTTACTAACGTACATGGACTTCTGTTGTCCATGTCTCAGTGCAAGCGCTAAAGCTGCCCTAAAGGCAGCCTTTGTTCCCAGCAAGGACATTTCCAAGGGGACTTGTGGTTAACCCTGTCTCAGGGAAATGAGTCCTTTGACCTGTCACAGGCCTGGTTTCCCACCCTTGGCTGATTTAGATGACCCCGAGATTCTCCGTGGAGGAGAAGGCAAAGCAATGGCTGTTGTTCCCAGAGCATCTCTTCTTTGGGGAAGGGAAAGGCTGTTTGTTCAAACGACGCTCTGTTGAGTGAGTCCACTCCATGGGAAGAGATTGCTAAGGGTCTGGGTGGTCACCTGACCGTGTATCTTGGTTTCTTTTCTCCCTGGGGTCATGAAAACCGATAAGCACACAGTGGTGTTCCTGCTGCGTCCTGCTCTCATGGCATCTGTGGAGGCTTCACTCAGAGTTCTTTGTTCAGAAAGACCGGGCTTCCTCCAACTAGGCCACAAGAGGGTGGGCAGATGTACAGGACACTATATGAGGGAAACGGCAAGTCCAAGTTCAGGGATCCAGAGAGCCTTGCTCAGGCTGTGAGTTGGCATTCACCGCCACTGACTGGCCTTGAGGCAAGGACCACATAGGACAACCAAAGGAGAGGCTAGCTGATGCTTGGAGCAGCATCTGACCTAAGGTCCACCCAAACAAACCTGACTCAGGTTCCTTCCTTGAGAATCTTGGATTGAGAAAATGATAGACTGAGCTATGAGCAAGCAATGAGAAGGGATCTGGAAGGTGGGGCCTGATAGCAGAGGAGCCAGCAACCCCACGGGAGACCGACTAACTCTCGCGGCAGAAGCTGGAGACAGGCGCGAACAGGAGCCTTGAGTAAGCAGAGGAAGCTGCTCAGGACTTGGGCAACACTGCAGGAAGCCCTTAGGAATTCACAAGAAACGGTCCCATGTCATACTGTGTCACTGATGGTTAGTGAACCACTCCTTGCCACAGATGCCTCATCTGGAAGCAGTAGTCCGGGCCCTGTCAGGACAGTGTGCCAGGGAGCTACAATCAGGACATGCCGCTCACCAAGCTGCACTTTCCATAAGTGTGACTTCCCTTCTCTTCGGAATGAGAATCAAGGTGAGAAGGTGAGTGAGTGAGGGCTTTCAGGGGCTCCTTTTCGTCTCTAAAAAGGGCCATGCTTGGGGTTTCCCCTGCTGTGCTCCAGGGACTTCTCTGCCTTTTGTCTTATACTCAGATGGGGCTCTCAGAAGGTCACATCTGGCTCAAGTACACATCTGTGTTTGGTTTGGTCAGCACAAAGTTGGCCAGGGCAGTGTTTTTAAGACTGAGTTAAGACTTAAAAATGAGACTCCTGGATTCTTCCGAAAAAATTAGAATTTTGTCCACACTGAGCCCATGTTCCTGCCAGGCAATAGCTCAGGAGTGGTGTGTGTGTGTGTCTGTGGGGGGGGGGGAGTCCTCCAGAAAGACCCAGGTCCTCCTCTGCTTGCTGCATCCTTGGCACTGATGCTGTGCTAACTAGGTCTGACATTACAATGTTCACATTGTCGTTTTCCCAAGCTGGGCCTGCTTCCTGGGATTCCCAACAGGGTTTATTTATGGAATGGAACACAATGGGTTTGTATCTTGGGGAGTGCTAAACCAGGAAAAGACCTGGCCAAGATAGAAGGATGAAGACAGATTTGCCACCTGCAGCAGGTCTAGAGAGCCCAGGAGTCAATCAAAGCCATGCCGTCCTTCAGTAGAGGAAACTGGGGATCTTATTCTGTGGGCGCTGAGTGTATTCACATACAGCTGTGGCCCATTCCTGAGCATGCTCAGTTTAAGGTAATACTTTTTTAAAGGCTTATTTTTTACACGTGTGTGTTGTACTTGTATAGTGTGTGTGTTTGGTATAGTGTAATCACACAACTGTATGAGTTTTCACACCTGAGTACAGGCATGTGGAGGCTAGAGAAGGATGGTGTCTTTCTCGGCTCCTCACCTTATTGCTTTGAGACAGGGTTTCTCACTGATACAGAAGTTCACTTTGGCCGGTCAGTGACCTCTCAGGATTAGTTTATCCCTGTCCCCCCAAATTTGGGATTACAGGTGCTTACATACATGCCTGACTTTTTACATGGACGCTAGGGATTCAAACTCAGGTTCTCATACTTGCTCAGCAAGTGCTTTT